GTCTTGCGTCACAGCGTGTCTTAAGTAGACTCAATTAGTGCTGTTTCGGCCCTTTCGCGGGACGCACGCGTAGAATTCGCCGCTCGCCAAGGCCCTACTTTCATTCCTTGTTCTTAAGTAGTGGCCCCCTGAAAAGCTCAAATCTCAGTGGAACGGCTGCACACGCCTTGTTTTTTTCCAAAGGATAATTTTAAAGCGCCGTACATGCAAAACAATATTATGCGCCTCACCATTCGCGACAAGCTCTTATTGTTCTATATGCTAGCATCAGACTCTATTTTTCAATTCGCTGCATCAAGCTTATCTCACTGGCAGCTCACAAACACCTAAACCTGGTGAACGTGCGTAAGAAAACTTGTTGGTACGTCACGCGCTTTATGCGGACATTTTTTTGTAGCTGAAAAAACCCTCTTCAAATGAGAAAAATCGCACTTTCCATTGTGACCTGCTTGTGTCATCGATCGATGGCCGTGTTGAAACCACCGGCATCTCCCTGCACACCTCTTTCCCACCTCGACCTTGCATATGTGAATCAATATTACTTCCTGTTCCACTGCAGATAGGCGGTCTTCCTAAAAAAATGAGTATGCATTGGAATGGCTAATTCTTACACAATCGAATGATAACTAAAAGTCAAAGAAGGAGTTCTGTCCTGTGAGAAATATGCACTTGTGAAACGCATATGTTCCTTTTGCTGAAGCATTATACGACAACTTTTCCAAAAATTCGTTGTACTAGGTAGAGGATTAAGCTTTTGAATGATTTTTCATTTTTGAATGAAATGAATGAAACTTTTGAATGATGAATAAATGAAATCTTATTTAAAAACTCTTGTACAGCGAAGGATCGTTCGCTTATTTGCTCCCTGATAATAAACTTGTACTGGTGTTTTACTATGTAGTTGTAGTCAAGCCTTGATATGAGTCCGCATTTCACAGTTCGAGAGGTACTTCTGTAAGAGTGAAAACCGCCCTTTTCTGATTCATCGTTGCTCCGATCGCCATAGATCTATTTATCTGCTCTACAATTCGACTCCCAAACATGTGTAGTACGCTGGATTGAACACATGCTGTCGTCATCAAAGAGTAGTAATAAGATTTTGGGTGACGAAACCTTCCTTGATGAGCACTTCCAAAGGCAGATCTCGAAGATAGTGAATGCCAAGTGATCGAGTAGAGAGCAGTGTGGAATACGTTCTGAAGAACATGCACAATCTAAGGATCGATTCCGTTATCTCCACCCTGTTTCAGCTCCTTGAGAAAAGGCGCTTTTGTTTTTCCAATTTTTTTTATAACCAACGTCAGATCTCGAATAGCCAAAAGATTTCCTTCTTCTTGCAAAAACGGCATGCATCATTGTTAGTGACATCAAGGAAGAAATTATATTTGTCCGCTTCGGCTATCGTTCTCTGGACAAAGTTCCTCTGGACTTCTACTATTCGCATCAGTAGCTCAATCTCGTCGATTTCGACGATATATCTGATTCAAGAAAGGATTTTTTAGTGCGCTGTAGCAGCTAAAAAAAAAATTGGGCTTTCGCGCTCGACGAGCAATCACTGCGCAGAGCACCATGTACGTGAGATTGTTATTATCGGAACTGAGGTTTTTCCGTTTCAGAAAAACTCCAAAGAAAGCGTGCTGTGACTTAGTACGGTCAGCTCAACTGGGTTTAGAAAGCGAAATCGCATACCCCGATCAACCTGTCAAAGATTGGTGGCTGACAGCTAACATAGAGATGTTGAAGAAGGAGTGGTGAGGCAAATGTGCCGCGGTGGTGTACTGGTAGAGCACGCGCTCCTGGATAAGATGAAACGCCGAGTTCGATTCCCGCCCGAGGCCGTGTTTTTGCGCACTACTCAATTCTCTTAGGCTTATAGGAAAAAGTTTTAGCCGATGAAAATGCCCAGTTGTGGAGAATAACACAATTTTTGCTGTCACAGCGCAGAAGGAGATCATTTCAATAAAAGGTACGCCACTGAGATTCTCGTGTATATATTATCAAATGACTACTGAAGCAAAAAAAAATTAGAATAAGAAAAGTACCCAGCAGTTTTTTTCTGAGATTCGAAGTCTTCACCCCGAAATCTTCATTGAGGCACAGATCCTCTCACAATTTGTGCTATTATCGGCTCAATAACAGCCGAGAAAAGTTAGTTCAGATTGGTGTCATGTAACACCAGTTTCCTTAAGCTCTCACAGATTAGCTTTGATCTTCCTAACTATGTTGTTCTTTATTGCTCGAGTCACTACCCAACCGTCAGCATCTGTCATAAGTGCATTGTTTTCCATGGTGTTATCACTTCATTACAGACCTGCCCGTGTCATTGTTTTCTAGAAAGTAATCGAACGGAATCCATTAGTATTCATCTGCAATCAAAAAAACCATTCATTCAAAGTGATTTTGAAGCATATCAAATTTCCCAACTGCTGATAATAACAGCTTTACAATAGTCTGTGAAGATTTTACAGGAACTACAGAAATAATCAAATATTATTGGGAATTATCGATGAGGATGGCAGAGGCTGCAGAAGCTGGGAAGAGCCTTTGCAAAGCCCAGCGAGGCTTCGCCAACCATAAGACCAAGATGATTGCACTCCGATACCCTGACGGGACACTTACAGCTTCGAGAAGGGCTATGGAGAAAATCATCCACCAATACTACTCGGATCTCTTCGTTAGCCATGTCCTCTTACCGTCATATAGATGGTGAGAGGACGAATATTTCGTTCCACTAGTCCTGCCTTCCGAAATCCGACATGCTATATCGTCGGTGAAGAACAGAACAACACCCGGTCCAGACAGGATTAGACCAGAGCACCTGAAGAAAGTGCCGCTAGTTCACATCAACACCTTGGCTCGGCTCTTCACTCGCTACCTGTCAGAATGCAAGGTCCCTATCCAATGGAAAACCAGCAAGACCGTATTGTTGTTCAAAAAGGGAGACCTTCACGACATAGGCAACTATTCCCCAATCTGCTTGCTGTCCGTTGTCTATAAACTCTTTATTCGAGTTATCCTAAACAGGATTGACAGAACACTGGACGAAGGACAGCCATGCGAACAAGCAGGGTTCCGGAAAGGATTTAGTACCATGGACCACATCCACACGATTATAAGACTCATCGAAGTTTCACGAGAGTGCAAGAAACCACTCTGCCTCACTTTCATCAATCAGAACGAAGCCTTTGATTCAGTTGGGACAGAATCGGTTATAGAGGCTCTGGATAAGCAGGGCGTCCCTACTGGGTACATAATGATCCTTTGTGAGCTTCATGAAGATTTCACGACCGAAATATCTTCATTCTACAACAATATCACCACTGACGTAAGAAGAGGGGTTCGACAAGGCGATACAATTTCGCCAAAACTATTCACTGTCATCCCACAAAACGTCATGCGAACATTAGAATGGGACGATATGGGAGTGAAAATTGACGGTCGACAATTAAACCATCTTTGCTTTGCTGACGATATCGTTCTCATAAAACCAAACATCAGTCAAGCGGAACGAATGTTGACCGATTTCGATAACGCTGTGGAAAGATTGGTCTTCAACTAAATCTACTGAAAACAATGTTCATAAGGAACGGACGGGTTTCGAATGCCCCATTCACGTTCAACGGAACGACAATCTCCGAATGCTCTAGTTACGTCTATCTAGGTCGTGAAATCAACATGATGAACGACCTAGCTCCAGAGTGGAGAAGGAGGAAACGAGCGGCTTGGAGAACGTTTAAGAGCATCGAAGATGTAGTGAAGAGGACAAAGAACATCCGACTCCGTGCCCACCTTTTCGACTCGAAAGTTATCTCTGCCCTGACGTATGCAGCAGAAACCTGGTCGCTACGTAAGCAGGATGAAAAATCACTTGGCGTTATTGAACGCGCAGTCGAAAGGTCGATGCTCGGAGTATCCCGTATCTCGCAAATGAGAGAAAGGATCCGAAGTTCCGAGCTATGTCAACGATCGAAAATCAGAGACGCCGTTCTACACGCCAGGATATCGAAAATAAGGTGGGCCGGACACGTGATGCGCTTCAACGACAACCGATGGACGAGAGCCGTTACCGACTGGATTCCTCGGGACGTCAAGCGCTCTAAAGGAAGACCACTGACCCGTTGGTCCGATTTCTTCACGAAAGCGATGGAAGAAAGATATGATGCTCAGCGAATTCCTAGAGCGAGGAGGACCCACTGGGCTACTCTTGCACGCGATAGGGAAAATTGGAAGAGTTGCTGATACCCGCTCGAATCACTCGACGATCAACGGGGCGACAGGTGATACAGGTGATCGATGAGGTGACGTCGCATGCAGTGTGCAGGATCATTTTTGACAGACTAATCATTCTCTTGCCATTTTCAATCACCTCAATCACACATTTTCATTCGACTGCTTTTATAGACTTCAATCAAGAACAATAATAATCTGATAATCACATAACATGGGGTGTACTTCATGAGCAGGGTTGTATCCCCTGCAACGGATCTGCTGAGTCGAAGGGGCACCGTACTACTGAGAAGCCTGGAAAGACGAAGCAGGCCTCTGTCTAGTATTTATCAATGACATACCAGGCCTTATAAAGGTTCAAAGTATGCTACGCGATAAAACCATAAGGGCTATAGGCAGTTAAATGGAGTGAGAAGATTCCAAACAGGAGGTAAATTGTTATAATCTTTGGGTGTAGAAGTACGAAAGAAGAGTGTGATCGTCTGTCTCTGTTATTTCATGAATCTACAAAGATGAATTGTTGTTGAAATTCTAGATAAAGCACAAATATCATTGAGATACGAACCATTAAAGAAAGCATAAATGTGTTCAATAACATTTCAAAATGTGACCTTTTCGTGGATATTTAATCTTGCTTTTGAGAAAAGCGAGGTTTCAGTGAAAGTGTTGGCGTTATTTCTACTACTCAAAATTTCCAGTATTCTTTCCACATTTTTCGCAGTGTTATGGTCTTTCATATAGCCCTAAGAGAGTTGAGTGGTGAACAAATATACGACCTCAGACGGGAGTTGAACCCGCGCTTCATCCATACCGGGGACGCGTGGTACCACTACACTACCAAGGTACATTAGCGCCACCACTAATTCCTACTAACAATAGCTTTACTCAAGCCTTTTCTGTCATATCCTACCCGTTCTCTGACAGTGAACCTCCTGAAATGACTACAATTATTCCTTAGAAATTTACCAGATTGTCGCTGAAGCGCGCCCCGCTCACTCGACGACCGCGTCGCGTGCTAGGAGAGTTATCAACGTGAAAGTCAAAACCCCAGTCACCTATTGGGCATCACCCGCGGTGCAGACTTTCTTGAGGTGGGTGGTAACAGCATTCCGGAACTCCGTTGCATAGTCGTGCTCCACAGTCAAATATTGACCGCATCGATCCATTGCACCATGACCCACCGCGAGTCGTCTATTGCTTCCATTTACACATCTCGTGACTTGGAATCTTAGCCCTCTTCATATGATATATGTCATTTTCAAACAGAATTCTTTTCCTCTCATTTAACCGCCTTCAGTTATGGTATGATGATTTAGGTGTACCCAGTGATGTGGAGTGATATGCATAATTTTTGCGTCGAGCGGGACTCGAACCCGCGCCTCACTCTATCGCGGAGCGCGTGCTCTGACCCGTTGCACTACCAGCACCAGCAATTTTCCATCACTCTTTCTGTGCTACAACTCATCTATCTGTCAGCAACCAACCGTTAAACGGAAAACAATTTCAGTTGATCATCCAACACCCAATATCTGTCAGTTTGCTTTTATTTAGTGTCGATACCGATTTCCTGGGCCAAGCATTTGACGGTTGGTTGCTTATAGATAGATGCGTTGTAGCGTAGAAAGAGTGGGGACAAAACGGGCGTTAGCAGTACAACGAGTTAGAGCACGCGCTTCCGGCTAGAGTGAGATACGGGTTCGAGTTCCGTCCGACGCAGAAGTTTTGGACATCACTTTACATCAGTGGTTATATCTGTTAACAGATTTTATATTGTTTCCTGCGATGTCTAAAGAAATATTCGACTACGAAGGTGTTGTCGCTTCAGTTCTGCTTTGATTCCTTTGAGAGTGCACTGTCGAAGCACGACCGATGCGCCCTAATCTCCGAGTTTTCTTGATTTTACCACTGCATGTGGTACCGCTTCCCATTCCCTTGGAAAGTCATGTTCGTGAAGTCACATTGATAAATCTTTATATACAATGTACTTGTTATGTGCACATTTATTCTGATGACCACACGAGCTGCTAGTGATGCAGATCTCGAGACATTCGTGATTTCCTTATTCGGTACAACACGGTAACTGAACAATGCTTTGGATCTTGCGTCAACGATTTTACAGTGAGGTCGGTCACCTTTCCATTTTCAATTCACTCTACTTGTCAGTAGCATTTGTAAAATGAGGCGTCTCAAATTGTCAAGGATGTTTGTAACACTGCGGTTGTCAGTAGCGTACGTTTCTTTCTTTTGGTGTGATATTACTGGTTGCACACGTCTTAACACTAAAGCAGTACTCACCAAATTTATTAACCAGAGTAATTAAAACTACATTATTTTGATATCATTCAATTGCGCATTTTCTTGAAACATTATGGTGTACAACCTGCTTTTATCTGCTTCAAGAAGGAGCTATCCTGGGAACAAATTTTCTTCCTACCCGTGCAGGAATATCGCGTAGTGGAAATTCCTGGCGAAGCGCGCGCAAGATCAGTGGAGCTTGGGGCGGTGATAAGATTCGAGAAAGGACGGCGAGAAAGTATTCTGCGAGGTTTAGAGCTGAGGAAAACAGTCTGGAGGATCAGTCGCGCTCGGGTCATCCACAGGAAGCTCCATAAATCTTGCGCGCAGCTTCACTACCATCGGTCCCCTGCGCGCCGTTCGTGCATGGGTAAAAAGCAAATCTGTTCGCACAACAGCTCCTTTATAAAGCTAATATGGGCATGTTATACGCAAAAATGTTAACAAGAAAAAACGCAAATGAGCGATACCAAAATCATGCAACTTCATTTAGTTTTCGTTATTCATTCCGATGTTCATTACCGAAGTGTCAAAACTTATGAAGCGACCTAATATCAAGGTCACTTCGAGTGGCAACATGTTGCTTGAATTCTTAGGAGCGTAACTAAGAAGGAAGAGAAATGCAGTTTGAACTGTCTTGACAAATTCCTCAAGATGACGCAACGTCTTTCCTTTCGCTTTCAGGTATGTCCTTTAGTAATCAGTGAAGTTGAAAATAGCTTCATCAAAGTTTTATATATTCAAACACTCATATTTACAAATTTGATAGTGGCTGCCTTTCTTTTCTTTAAAGAACGCTGTTTTTATGACGGGAGTCCATAAGAAATGGATCATACGAACTTCCCCGTTGATCGTCAAGGGAATGTTTTTCGCTACACAGTTCTACAGAATTATGCTCTCTATTATATGGTTATTCTTTGAACCAAGTTTATGTTAAGGCATATGAACGAATTAGACAATGAAAGCTGGTGACAGTTTTTATTTCTTGAGCTAAAACCGCCTAAACACAGTCATTATTTGCTCATGAGATTCGATATGCGCGATCCGGTACATCCTGTTTTTCTTGACCAATTCGCAAAGTTCTTCTTTTCCATCTCCGTAATAGAGCATATCCACTGTCATCTCCGTCGAACCTTTGCGGTTCGTGCCATTTGCGGCTGGCGTCCGGTTCGGACGGCTACGAAGAGAGGCTGCCGGCGCTCTCTAAGGACTAATGTGGTTTTTTTCAAATGAAATTCAAGATACTTACGTCAATAATGAAATTTCTCTTTTAGTAAAAGGTCGAATAAGATAGATTAGATTTCAATAAAGTTATTCTTTATGAGACATAGCGTAGATGCTCCATTTATAATTCACACATTCAAATCGAAAAATCAACGAATCTTTGTCGAGCATTTCTATGATATTTTATTTACACTTACCACAATTAAATCGTATCTATTTCTTATTTCTCATAGTTTTCATATGCTCTATTGCATAAAGTACATAGAGTTGATCATACTGACTGAAAAGTGAAAAGCAATGAATAGTTTGCCAAAAATAGCGCTTCTTATTGCATGCGATCCTACTTCATCGATAATTCTCAGTTTTTATTATTATTAGTGCACTTGGGACTTTTAGTTCTTGGATTAATGCGTAGTTTTGTTCGATTTTCTTATTCATAGCTATGGTATGCGAAGAGGAGATGAACAAGTTGAAAAGGCGCTTTTCCAAGTGTGTTGCTTCCATAATGGAGAGTAAGAATTTTCAAAGCATCGAAGCGTTATCCTTGCTAACATTATCTTCATGGAAGTCCCTCTTGTAACGATTCACCAAATTTCCGTATTGACGAGGTTATCTTGGTATGAAGTTTTTTATATATGTATCGAAGATTCCGCTACAATTGATAGGACCGGCTGATTGCGGCAATCGCAAAATATTATTATTTCCTTGCCAGTGGTGGAAGCAGAAGACGACTTTTCTCAAAGCCAATCTTAGTTCTAAAATTTTATTTTTCAAGTTATCGAATGAGTATCAATAATCTAGTGCAATAGGTCTTTTATACAAAATCTAAAGGCTCTCGAGCGCAATCCTTGAAATATGAGTGCATGCGACAGAAATTGTTTTCAAAAGTAAGGATTCTTAAGGCATTGGGGCATTGATTTTTTTATAAATACGCTTGCAAAAGTTTGTTAATGATAATTTAATTTTTTTGGCAAAAAGTTTATGAAAGTCGAAATCTAATTATATTATATCGAAAAATCCGCTATGAATCAGAAATATAGGCTGCGATTGCAGAACGTTATCTTTTATTTATTAGTAGAACGTATTATAGAAGTCTTTTACACAGCAGACTTACTATCAAAGTTGAAATCTTTCAAGCTATCGATTGATTACAAAAGCGTCAAGAAGATAAATAGTTTGATAACAGCTGGGAATACATTTCTTTTCGCAAGGATGTGGTTTTTCCTTTGAAGACAAGATTTTGGAGAGTATTGGCGTAAATTTTACTAGAAATATGTACGGGTCTTTCAGCGATATTTTATTGTTTTTGATGACACTTAATCAACGCGAATTTGTATTGGGGGATGCATCAGTCTTCGTAACCGTCCGAATGGCGCGCTCGGATGTGTGTCATAATCACTTTCATGGTCCGCAAACGATTTAGATAAGAAATTTCTCCGTTAGCCCGCCTTTACATTTTTTCCTTCCTTCAACATTTGAAGTCCAGCGTAATAGATTTCCATTTATTCGCTTGAATTCCGAGTTGATTTTTCACGTCCCAGACGACGGGATCACGCGTTGACAGCGGGGAACTCAGCGCGTTAGGATGCCAGTGTATTAGTTTTTTTGTGAAGTTAAGTTTTTCTCACTGCAAAAGAAAGTCCATCCGTCAGTAAATGGCCGAATATAGTAGAAACAATTTTAATACGGCTTTTTTGTTTGAAGCAGGCTAAAAGAACTACAAAATAATGATTTTTCTGTCAATAATGAATCTGCGTATTGCAGTGCGATGCCACTTCACCGATACCCCTTAGTAACTTTTCAACATTAGTGGACTTTAGAAGTTGAGACTGCCATAGAATGCGAAATAGTGCTCAGACTGTTGTCCTATGGCCATAATTTTCTAGATATCCACTTATACTCAACTGTCAGCACTATTCATCGCTGCGATCTGAAAAGCTTTTTCTTTTCGTGGATGTATGCTTCGTATTGAAAAACGGAAATGAAAACAAGGCTTTCTTTTTTGAAAATATATGTGAAAAAGTCCTCCTACTGAAGATCCATTCTTTCGTAACGGAAAAGTTTGCTTCGGGTCAAAATTTTGCTATGCGATACCAAGAAAATCACTGAAATGTGTAAACAAGTGCTCCCAGCGAAACGTGAACTTCATTATATTGAGGGAGCGTAATAGACGGTCTTCTTGGAGACCAACCTTTGTATTAAAAATCCCAGATCTCCAGCTATCGAGATCACTAGTAGTCTACTAAAAGGCTTCTCACCGGAAAAGACAAGGATACCCAAGTACACTCTTCTGAACGAGGCTAAATTCCACACAATTCGCAGTGAGGAGTGAAAATATTTAGGAAATCTAGGCTTCTTTACCCCAAATGAGCAACATTGATCTATTTTTGTTTACATCACAAATCTGCTCAGAATCCAAATATTACTATATAATAGTAAAGCTTCATTGTAAAACTGAAACAACGCACTTGAGCGAACGTTATCTTCTTCTTTTTTCGACGCTAAAACGTACTGTAAAGATCGTTTTGCAGATTAATGATAATCAACATTTCTCGAGCTATCGAATGACTGCGAAAACAGTGACTAAAAAAAGGAGAAAGTATTATATGACATTCAAGAACCATGAACAGATCACATGACATGCTTTCTCAAACATTAGTTATCAGATATATTATGTAACAATTGCGTATGTTACTTTTCGCAACGATACTGATTTTTTGTTGAAATATAAGAAACTTTTCGACATTGGGCGCTTATGATTTGCAAAAATTTTATTGAAGTCTCATCTGTAGCATTCCATCATTTAAGGACGATAATTCTTTCCTGCCATCTCAACCGCGGAAATACAAACTACTCGCCGCGTGCGACATGGCCACATGTGTGCCACTTCGGAGTTAGGGGTTATAGA